GCATAAATTAATGTGGTGAGAAGGGTCCTAGAAAACATCAGGGCAGTGTTACATGGCCAAAGACCCTGGGTATAATCCAAAGATAGACACTGGGAAGTTAAAATAAGTTGGATATTGCACTTCTGTTTTTCTGAATTACGTATTAGGGTTTTTTTAAACTTTTTATTGCCATTGTTTTGGCTTTTAGCTACCTGTATTGCTTTTGGCTTGGAAACAGATTTTACTGTAAACACAACTGGTTTGGACAGAATGGGGAGGGACTTTCTTTTCACTCTTGCATATTGCCTTCCCCTTTTGCTTAACAAGTGTTCTCTGCATGTGTGTACAGAGCTGATCCCTCCCCTCAGCAGGCAGGCACACAGCGACTGTTGTTCCTCTCGGTGCTTACCTGGTGAGATTGCAGCCTGTGTCTCTGAAACAGGATCCAGTCTGAACTGAGCCTCTACCTGGGGCTGGCAGGAGCCCAGAGAGAAATCACAGAACTAATTATGTTTCTGTAGGTAGAAACCTGAAGCCCTGAGTTAAGGGAGGGACACTGGCGGATGAGTGTGATGGGAGCAGCCTTCAGAACCAGAGGGTTTTTGGTGTTGGGGTCGTTCCAGGTTTATGGTAACACTGAAGTGAGACGTGGGTATGTGCAGGTGTTTCCTCATTTTTGTCTGATTGTTACTTCTAAGGATAAACAGTCTTGTTTTCCAGAAATTTCTGCTGCTGTGATATTGAAATTATGAAGGTGAGAGGCTGATTCCAGAGACCAGTGAGTGAGAGGTGCAGTTGTGGGATTCCTGCCTAAGGGAAATCAGAGTAGCTGAATGGGATCAAGCCACAGACCTGCCCAGGCCAGTGTCTTGTCTCTAATGCTCTGCAGCAGTTACCAAAGAGGAACAGGGCAAACAGATATGGATGTGGCAGGTGGTTCAGGCAATTCTTCTTCCACAAACAAGTAACTTTTTGTTTAATAGCCCCAATGGGTTATTATGAGTTTATCTAATCACCTTTTACAGTCATGTAAACTTCTGGCATAAACAGCCTCCTGTCTTGATTAGTCCTGTGGTTTAATTATGATCAGTGTGGAAGAAGAGTTCCTTCCATTTGGTTTGATGATTTCCACTGGGTAACTCCGTTCACAAGGTGGACAAAGTGGTGAGTCTGTCCCTTCAGAGCTTTCACTCCGGGACTGCTTCACATTTTTTGTGATACTGTGAGACAAGGTAATGCTAAACCAGCTTTTACTTTGTGTAATGTTTGGCATTAATTTGTGATTTATATCTCCTTCATGTTTGAAGCCTGTGAACTTTGAATATTGTTCCCATGAAGGTTCCACAGCTCTTCTGCTGTTCCTGTCCAGTGATAAGCCTGATAGCTGTTGCCTTCTTTAATGTGGAGGATCTCTTTCTCCTGAGACTTTGCACCAAGAAGTGGTGACTAATTTGGTCATGAGGTGCACATATGGTGACACCCCTGCTGTGAACAAAAATAAGTTATCCTTCACACAAAAGTTGATTTTATCATTCTTCTGTCTCTCTCAGACCTCCTCTTCATTCTCAGGGCCTGGTAGGGATTATTCTTTCTCCCTCATGTTTCCAAAAGAGCCTTCATCCATACTCCATGCTAGTGCCTGTCTCCCTGCATAGAGGGCTTTTTCCAATGGCTTCTTAAATCCCTGATCAGAGTGGCTTTCACATCCCACACAGAGAGTTTCCATACTGCAGTGTCTTTGCCCTGCATCCACAAGATGTTCCTGGAGAAGCCTCCCTGCTAACTGTTGTCATTTGTGGTGGGAGAAGCTGCTGGCTGTGTCAGAGATTTCCTTAGGCTTTCCGAGGGGTGCTCTGCCAGCCTCCCTCTCGTGACTGATCCCTGGCATTGCACACTACTACTGCAGCAGTTCCTGTTGTGTGTTTATCTGACTTGAACAGGGATCTGACAGCATCCGACTGCAGGAGGGCTGGGAGTAGCTCACGTGGAGGGAACCTGGTCACCTCAGTGTACAAGTACACACTGATGTCTGCACTTAGAAAACACCAAAACACTGGCACTTGCCTGGGTTTGATGGCATTGTGGAAGGATTTTTATATTAAGAAAGCTGTGACAAAAATTGGAGGTTTTCTGATCCCAGTATTCCTTCAGGCCTGTTTTTCTTCAGTGTGTTCAAAATTAGCTCTTGAAGTAGGAGTGACAGTCCATGAGGTAGGATATAAACATCATATGGCTGCCTGCTTTTCTGGAGAGACACTCAGATACAGGATCAGAGGCAGGGTAGAAGAACAACATGAAAATATACTGATACTAAATCCAACCATCCATGAAAGGCATTCCTCTCATCTTCTGCTGGGTTTATTCCATGAGAAGTTGTGGATTCCAAGTCCTCAACTTGGGTGTCTCCTACCACAGGGATCCTGGATATGTCAGAATGGGAAGAAAGAAACAACTCAGGCCCTGTGGGTACTGCAGAGTGGAACTGCAGGCAACAAACAATTTCCCTCAATATTAATGGGAATTCATTGGGACAGCTCAGATGGGAGTACTGGTTGAGAATCCATGGTGCTTTGGGATGCCTAAATGACAGTTAAGCCCTAATAGCCAGGAGCACGTCAGTCACCCTGTTGTGTGAAGCCAAAAAAGAGAAAGTGCTTTCTGGTGTCAATTTTTTTATCTAATACTTTTTATCTCCTTCTTATTGGTATTTGCTGACGGCAGCAGAACTGCAGTTGCACATGAGCAGACTTTATTATCAGCCAGAAGATCTCTGCCGTGGTTCAGCCTGAGTGAGAAGTGAGGGCCCTGTATATAAACATAAAGAATTTACAGACAGTTAGAAAATCCTTTTTATTTATCATTTCCACAGTTGCATTGTAACCAAAGGCCTGCAAGCATCTTTGTTTCAATGTGAGTGAGTTCATCTAGAATCTCCTTTTAAGTAGATTTCAACTGTCTAGGCAATCTGGGGATTTATTCTGCAAACTTATTGTGGGGCTGACATGAACAAGGTGCTCTATAGAGACCTGGGATGAAGGAATATATTACCAATATTAGTCTCCTTTCTTCTCATAGGTTCCCCATTTTGTTATTTTATACCCCTTTTTAATTCCAAAATACCAGTTTTAAAATCCCAATCTATTTTATCATGTAGTTAAAACATCTATAAATGTTTTTATCTGTCAGAAGAAGAAGTCATTGTGGGTTTCTTCATGGCAGAGCAGTGTTCATTGTCAAAGTGGCTCAAGGGGCAGGGATTTAATTCAGTGGCATGTGCAAGGCAAAAGTGAAATGTCAGGAAGCCACGCTGAGCTTATTGCCTAATTACTCACTTATTATCTGTGTGGAAGTCCCAAAGCTTCTAAACAAGAGCTTGGGGAAGTTCTGGCTGATATCCTTTTCTCTTGGACCCTGTGATCTATTCCAATTCAAGAAGGTGCAATGACTGACAGGCCAGAGCACCTGGGGTCCAGGAGTTCCTGGCATCTCACTGGCTTGTTTCCATTTCTGACAGTGGTAGGATCTTCCTCAGCATGTTCCAAATCTGAGCCAGGAATCCCAGAGCTCACCCCTATGCTGTCAAGTCACCAAGCTAGAGCTCTGTTAAAGGATTGCATTTCCAGGTGCAGGATGAATGAAGTCTCAGGAATTTCCCTGATATTGCTGACTCCATGATAACCTCTTTATTTTTTCTATGCCACCTTGCCTGCATGCCTCCTACCTTCTTCAGATGGTTTGTGCAAAGAACACATCAAAAGGTGTAGGCATGTCTCTCGTCAACTAAATACCGGCAGCTGGGTTATCTGAAATCTTTTTCTTTCACAGGAAAGAAAGTGCCTTCAGGAGTTTTCACTGTGTACCCTGAAAGTACACAGCAAAACAGCTCTTGAGTAGAGGCAGCAGCAGCACCCCCATCCTGCTCACTGAAACACTGTGTTCACAATAACCCCCCTGCTTTGATCTCTTGCCAAGAATAACACAGACAGTCTATTAAAATATCTTTAATGACATGATATAATTAAAAATATCTAACGTGCAACTCAAAGAAATGAATATGAAGCTTGTTTAAGTCTGTTTCCACAGCCCTCTAAACTTGACTGGCAGGTTCCAAACCTTCATTAATTGGCCTGAAAATGTATGAATATCCCAATATTATGGGGTGTGTGTGTCCCGTATTATCAGTTGGGAGCACAAGGGACGAATAATCAGATTTGAAAGGATTTAGGTGCCATGGTAGTTTTAAAAATCCTACAAGGCTCACCACTTCATCTGTGAGCATTTACATTTCTGTTTAAAGTGGTCTGAAAAGCCTTGGAGACACTCCTCCCTGAGGCTCTTAGCAGTCTGTGTATTTTAAGTCTCTGAAGCAGTTGAGAAGTGAGCTCTAAATGCCTTAGTAAAAGGACTGCTTGTGAATCGATCCCTTTTCTTCACAGTAACACAGAATTTGTACAGCACCTCATCTTTCAGACATGCAGAACAGACCAGAGGAGCTTGAATGACTGCCAGGTCCCAGGGGAATGCTGATTATTAGATCATAAAGTAACTCTGGTCATGTTGAAATATGAAAGTGACAATTAGGAAAGCTTCTGTTCCTGAGTCTGCTCAGGTCTAAAGGGCAGTGTCAGCTGAGACACTTCCAAAGTCAGCAAGAGAAGCAGGTCAGTGCAAATGAACAAACAGTTGAACCTCAGCCCAGTGTGAGACCAGCTTTAGCAAATGTGAAATTAAATGTTAATTTGAGTCCTTGCTAAAGAGTTTAAATTGGCAATTTTAACCCTGTGTGGCCATGACTCAGCTGAGAGACAAAAACTCAGCTGTGCATCTGTGCCCTTTGTTTCTCCTTTGATCCTCCGCAATTTTGTAGAGGCCAAGACTAAGAAGGATTGGTTTTGAAGGATTCCTGGTCAGCAGGAGTGTTCATTGAAGAGACACATGGCTGTCATCACTTAGATGGAAGCACAGACAGATCAGGCAGAACATCCTTGCATTTTCCCTAGAACATGGAAGCAGTTGGCTCTTATATTCTGACTGTATTTTAATGCCCTTCCAGTCTTCACTAATGGCAATACTGCAGGTATCATCTCTTGAGAGGCCACAGAAGAGGACAGAGCATGCTTTTTAGACACCACCTTTTCTGATTTGACAGGAGTATACAATATTAGCTTCACAATAGCTAATATTATATTATATTATATATATGTATAATAATAATAGCCTGCCTCCTCAGAGGCATAATTTCGTGTCTGACATGAGTAATCCCAGCTGTAGCCCAAGGAAGAGGCATGCAGGCTGTTCTTGTTTGGAGAATGAATAGCTTGCCATCCACCAGGAATCACAGACTTCCTGTGGAGCAGGATCCATTGTCTCAAAGTACAGTAGTGCAAGTACCAGCAAGTTGCTGGGAGCCCTTCAGGAAAATCACTTGCATCCTGCAGTGACTTACACCTCTGTGATTTCTGTCTGGACCCTGGTGACTGTGCTCTGACAAGAGTCCTGAGTCACAGAAAACCGTCAGTCATCAAAAACACTGCTGTTCCTGTGACTGGAGCTGCTCTCCTTGGCCATCACTCGGTACGAGATGCGCAGGAAGGAGCCCATGAGCAGCACCACGAAGAGGATCAGGAGCAAGGACCAGACCCCTGGCTCGATCCCCTTGAGGAAGCTTGGGCTGTCCTGGGGGATGGTGCTGGTCAGACTCAGCAGGTACCCAAGAGTCCAGCCAGATGATCTATCACCCATCTGTTGAAATAAAAAGGAGAGGTCAGAAGAGAAGCAGGCAGCCTGGACCCCAGCTGTGTTTCTGTGCATGGGCCCAAGGCTTTGTATGCATTATCTGAGACTGATGCAAGGATTTGGCTTGCAATGAGGAGCTCTCCCGCTCTCAGTGCCCTGAGTACATCAGCAGGCTTTAATGGCACTTCACCCACACCCCTGCCCACGGGCATGGGCACTCCATGTAAGCTGTGGCCTGGACAGGTCCCTCTCTCCTAAAGCAGACTGTTGTAGGGAGTGCTGTTCTCTGCTTATTGATGGGTTTTTCTAGTGGATCTCAAGTCTGCATTGTGGACAGTTGTCTCTCTGGCCCTGGTTGAACTTCAGATGTATGGTTTAGATTGCTTGTCTGTGTCTTTCCAGGCTGGGCTCCCTGGGTGTCCTGGACCTACCTCATTACCTGCCTTTTCTGATGGTCACTACTTGGCCCCGCTCATGAGACCATGGCTGTGATTGTCAGTTGTGAAGAGGTCTGGGAACAAGCTTTCTTTTGTGAAGGGAATGATCTGAATCAAATCTCCCTGTCCTTAGGGCCTCCAGATCCTGGAGCAATTTCATAACTTATTAGAGATTAGGTTAAATTATTAGATATTAGGAAGAAATTCTTCTCTGGTAGGGTGATGAGGCCCTGGCACAGGGTGCCCAGAGAAGCTGTGACTACCCCTGCACCCCTAGAAGTGTCCAAGGCCAGGCTGGATGGGGCTTGGAGCAATGTAGGATAGTGAAAGGTGTTCCAGTCTATGGCAGGGGGTGGAATGAGAGGAGCTTTAAGTTTCCTTCCAATCCAAAATCAGTCTAGGATTCTATGATGATAAGGTATTTATCAACCCTCATGAGTATAAAGGTGGTTGCAAAAAGGTAGGGAAGCACCTTTTGGTTCAGGAAATATTATCAGCAGCTTGTCCTTAGCGTTAAGTGGAGATCAGGCTGTACTTCCTTCCCTGTCAACACAGATTTCTAAAGATGGTGTTGAACCAGAGAAGATTTTTGACCCATGTGTTTTTCAGAGAGGACAAGTGTAATCTCTGGCTCTTTGACACTGGTTTTCTTGTTTATAACAACTGTGAATCCATTTTACAAAACTGTCCTGCTGGAGAAGCCCAGCTGGTTAGGGCTTGGCAGTGTGGGAACAGACTGGCTGTACTGGGACCAGCCCTCCTGGTAACTGGGAGCACTGTGCTGTAGGAACTGACCTTCTGGAATGCAGTCCAAGCAGGCCGGTCCAAGTCAAGTGTGTATCCTCTTGTACTGAGATGGAAGATGAAGGCAGACACAGTGCAGTAATCAACAAGTGTATCCAGGCTTGCTTGGGACTCCCTAATCAACTGGTGCCATTTCCAGAACAAAAAAAGACAATGGGGGAGAAAAATAAAAGCAGTAAATACTCAATAGTCGAATTTCAGGCCTGCTACAACCTCTCCTTTCCTGTTCTGAAGCTGACTCTGGGACTGGAGGAGGTGTTTGTCCTATGCAGGCTGCAACCACATTTCCTGCATTCACTGGGCTGTGGGGTAGAAATCCATGTCATCTGTTACTGTCTTTGTTCCCATCTTACTACGCCAGATCCAAGAGCAGCAGCACTGACAGCCAGGTTGCCTTGCTGGTGAATTGCTTGGTAGGATTGATTCCCTGCTCTCTAATTAGGTTGAGCTGATGCTGCAGCCTTTCTCCCAACTGGAACTTGGGGATCTTTCTCCTCTTTCCAGAAGAGAATGGTTTAGGGGACTGCTTGTGTCTCATTAACAAACCCTGGAGAAATTGCCCCATTTGAATGTTACTGTGGATGCTCCATTAGTGTAAATGCAAATGAGGGTGACCTCATAACCACCAATTCAGGGGAAGAAGTAACAAACTCCCTCTGGCTTGGGCTCTGTGGACCCAGGTGAAATGGGAGTAACTCTGGAGTCTGAGTGCTCATGTCCCTTGCACTTAAGGACAGAAGGATAACAGAAAGACCAAGGTGATGTGCAGGAGCGAGTAAACAACCTTCCTGTTTACTCCTTAAAATACTGTAAAAGGTGTTTATGGCTTTTTATTTAATTAGGTCCAAGTGTTACCAGCAGCAGCTGGGATTTAAGAGGAAGGAAAATAAGTGGAGCCTGTTTCCTCAAAAAAAAAAACAAAAACAAAAACAACCCCCAAAGAAAAGCCCCACAAAAAAACAAACCCCAAAAAATCCAGACAAATCCAAATTTTTCCCTGAGGGAGTCAGTAAGTTACAGCTCTTTCAGTCTGAGCCCTGAGTGCTTCTGCAGCAAACTGTTCCTTGCTTCCCGCTCTCCCTGCACACCGAGTTACTCCACAATTACCTCTTTGACGGACATCCCACACAGCCTCTTGACAGCCTGGCCCAAGTCAGGAGAAGGTGCAGTTCCTCTCATGAAATCCATGGCCTCAGAAACCACCTACAACAGCAGCAGAAATAATATCAGGTGGGACTGTGCTCTGTGTCCTTGCACTGCACACCAGAAATTACCCCTAGGGAAGTGAGGGGCAGTGGCTGAGCACTGCCAGGGTGCCCTTGGTGTGCAGGGTTGGTTCCAGTGCCTTGGAAAGGGCTCAAAGGGACATGGGCAGAGCTGTTGCTGTCTGGAGATGGAAACAGGTCTGTTCCTAGCATGCATCCAGCAGCCTTCCTGGCCCTGCCTGGATAAGTAGACTGGTCATAGAATCAATCCTATTGGTTGCAGAAGATGTCTAAAATCAAGTTCAACCATTAACCCAGCACTGCCAAGCCCACCACTAAACAATGTCCCTAGGTGCCGCATCCTACACAGCTTTTAAATCTCTCCAGGGACAGTGATTCCACCACTGCACTGGGCAGCTTGTGCCAGGGCTTGACAACCCTTTTGGTGAAGGAATTTTCCCTAATATCCAGTCTAAACCACCTCTAGCACAGCCTGAGCCTATCCCCTCTCCTCCTGTCCTTGGGAGCAGAGCCTGATACCCCCGGCTGTCCCCTCCTGTCAGGAGCTGTGCAGAGCCACATGGTTACCCCTGAGCCTCCTTTTCTCCAGGCTGAGCCCCTTTCCAGCTCCCTCAGCCACTCCTGGGGTTCAGCCCTGCTCTGTTCCCTTCACTGGACATGCTCCAGGTTCTCAGTGCCGTTCTTGCCCAAAACTGAGCACAATATTCATGGTGTAACTTCACCGGTGCTGAGGTCTGAGATCCCGATGCTCCTCAGCACCACGTCCATGGGAGACTCAGGAGCAGGGAGCTGGGGAAATTTCCAATTACCCTCCCTGGAAATGCTCTCTGCTTGTCCTAGGATCTTGAGCTACTCCTGGCCTAAGAGTCCAGTGACTTTGGCCAGGTTCTTAGGTAGAAGGGTGCTTGTGGTGCAGCATGACCAGAATTTTGCTAAGAGAGGGGCAGAGGTCTGTACCACAGACCTTCTGTGGGAAGACCTGCTCAGCACACAGCTCCTGACTGTCCCGTCCCTGCTGGCTCCATGGAGCCCTAGAGTTGGTCTCAGCAGCAGACATTGGGGAGACAGATGAAAAAAGCTCCCCCACAGTCACTGTGGGAAGCCGTGGTCCATGTTTGAACAGCTGTGTGGCAATGACAGGGAGAGGGCAGGACTGTCATGGTCTGGATGTTGCTACTATATTTATTAATGGTCAAACTGGTTCCATTTCATGTGTTCCTCATGCAAATTGCTTACCCCAGTGTAAATGAGAACTCACCAGAAGCCTGGTCTGAAGGGGTTTGAGATCACTGCTGAGGGAATGCTTGAAAAAGCTGCAGGAAGAGGAAGAGTTGAGCAGGCTTTGCACGAGGTTCATGCAGGCTGTGGGATTGCTGGAGCCTGTGATGTTGAAGATCTCCTTGGGGCCAGGGATGTCCCGTGTGTCATCACTGGCAGCACAAGGCCCAGCATGCAGTGATTGCCACTGCACTTCCTGGGAATAGGTGAGGGGCCAGCAGGGATTGGACACGGTTTTAGCACTTCTCTGATCCTGGAGGCAGAATAAAACAAGGACAGAGGCAGCAAGAGAGGACATTGGTGTCCCAGGGCTTCACACAGGAAGAGAGAATGTAACATGGTTAGAAACAGCTTTCCCCAGGCACCACAGTGCTGAGATGGAGCAGGGAGGCTGTGAAAGCTTTGCTAAATCTTATGTCATCAAGTCAACCACGAGGCCCAGCCAGGTCCCAGCTCCTGCTGAGCTCAGGGCCAGTGCAGTGACTGGACCTGCTGAGAGGTGATGAGTCCCAGCCCTACCATCCCCCCTCAGAGCACAAATACAATTTTGTGCATCCTGTGCTCTTTCTAGTTGAAAAAACGAAGCTGTTCTGATCTGCCTTCAAGATGGTTCAACCTCACAAGAATCAGTGTTTCTTATCTCCAGCAATTTAGCACTATAACTGTGGTGAAGTTGGTGTTCAATGTGCAACATTCAGGTCTCAAATAAGGGCAAGTGGGGTTTATAGGGAGGAAAGTGAATGGGTAGGGAGCAATTAATTCCTGAAAAACACAGTTTTGATGAGAACTATGGCGATTCTTGAACTTACACCATCATATGCCACTTTTTTCTTCCCCCCCATCCATTCCCCAAGTGAAATAAAGTTTGGAAGAACCAAAACACTGGCATGTTTTCAAAATAAAATATTGCTCTGTTAAAGTCAGCAAAGGAAATACCCCAAATGGAAGATCCCAGTTGGTTTCTGGGTGCTCCCATTCTTGGATGGAGGAGCAGTTCCTAGGAACTGCCAAGGCAAGGCTTGCCTCTCCTCACCCTGAAGGTGATGTTGACACTTCTGAAGAGCAATTTTTTGCTTGTGTGTATTAAGTAGGAACCAAATAGAACCTGTAAGCAGGAAACCTTTGAATTGGTGCTCGTGTGTCTGCTTGGAGGGAAAGTTTTACAAATGCACTGGGTTTTTCTAATATATGCAAACAGCCTCCACTGAGGAGGGATTGACTTTAAAGTGATTGACACTTTGCCCATTACCACACCTTGTGCAGCTGCCATTTGGTGGTGTTGTGCCCCTGAGCAGACACTCACCTGGATGAGCACAGAGACTCACCTGGATGAGCACAGAGGCTCACCTGGATGAGAGCAGAGGCTCACCTGGATGAGCACAGAGGCTCACCTGGATGAGCACCCAGAGCAGAGGCTCACCTGGATGAGCACCCAGAGCAGCCTGCGGCGGAGCTGCTCCGTGCCGTGGCAGGGGCACTGGCGGGTGTGCACCCTGTGTGTCTGCCCATAGAGCTGCAGCCTCACTCCCTCCTCTGGGGCCTGCTTCTCTTCTTCCAGCTCAGCAGTGAGCTGTGCTGAGGTTCCTCCCACGGACAGGACTCCTGCCATCCCCTTCTTGGAGGGGACCAACTGTCCTTGCCAGTCATACTGACCCAAAAAGAACAAGAGAGGTCAATCCTTGAGACTTCTCCATCTCAGTCACAGCCAAATGCCAGCATTAGTGCACAGAGAGAGAAAGCAGCTTGAAAGTGCCCATAGCCCAACACTTTTTTGACCACATAGGGATGCTGAACCAGTGGCTTCAGAGGGAACAGAGGAGCCAGTATACAGCCACTGTCACCTGCACAGAGCAGCCTGTGGGGGCAAACAGGTCTGTCCAGCCTGGGTGGCTGCACTAGGCAGTGCTCTCAGCAGGCAGGAGAAGGGGACAGTGGTGAGGGTGGTGAGGAGTGGCAGTGACATTTCCAAGAGGGCAGATACGGGTTTCAAGTGCTGCCTTGATGCTAAAGTGATCCTTCTGTCAGAAACCTGTGGCATCATCTCCTGCAGTCCTGCAGAACTGACTTTGGCAATGCTGAAGTTCACAGGACAGGCAGGAGAGTTTACATGGGGTAAACACTTTGAGCCTGGCTGGAGGAAGTCTGAATCTGAACACTCTGAACCTACTGTCAACAGGTCTGACAATTCCCTAACCAGTGTGTGCTTGCTGCTGGCTATCAGAACTGCTTTTCACATCCCTGATGAAGAATAACTCAGTCTGACCCACCTTTCTCTTGCCCTCTGAGTTCTTAGGCTTAAGAAGTGATGGGTGAAACAAGAAAACTGAAATTATTTTCTTTTTGTTTAACAAGTGCCTTCTAAATACAGAACAGGTCTCCCTGCTGTCTCACTGAGAGTGGCTTTTGGTTTGGCAGCAACAGAATCTGCTTCTCTACCACCCACAAGACTCCCAATGGGACAGCTGGACTCCAGTGGCAATCCCACAGCACTCCACAAACAGCAGAAACTCCTGTTTGATGCCCCATGGCCAGGCTATGTAAGGTCATCTACATGAGCATCCTGGATGTGCTGGCCAAAAAGTCTCACGTCTGTTAGGGCAACTGCATGGATGTGTTCATGGAAGGCCAGAGCAGAGATTGGGTTCTTCAGCCTAGTTATGACCATGGAATCCAATAATGGTTTGGGTTGGGAGGGATATTAAAGCTCACCTCATTCCAACCCCCTGCCATGGGCAGGGACACCTTCCACTGTCCCAGGCTGCTCCAAGCCTCGTCCAACCTGGCCTTGGACACTTCCAGGGATGGGGGGATGGGGCAGCCACAGCTGCTCTGGGCACCCTGTGCCACATCACCTCAACCAGCTGGTGCTGGATCTAAGCTGCCTCCTCTGAAAGGCAGTGGAAGTTGTGCTGAAGCATTGTTTTAAGTACAGGGGTTTTCCCATCCCACCACTTGTCTCTGTGGCTGTCTGTTAACAGGAGCTGCTCAGCCCAGCTCTGTGTGCCCCAGGGAGAATCATCCTTTACCTTGAAGAAGTTCTCCAGGACATAGTTAACAGCAACCCAATTGAATGCTTCTTCCTCTGGGCTGGACAGGATTTGTGCTCCTTGAAAGCTGAAGGGGGATGACTTCAGGGTGCCAGTCAGAGCTGCAAGGAGACTGTCAGAGAGGATGGGATGGGTGAGGCTAAACACAAAAGAAAAAGAAGGTACATTTGATGTTACAGGATCCTGCCAGGAGCTGCCTGCAGTGAGGACACACTGCAGGGCTTCTGCTGTGCTCCCTACTTTGGGTAGTAGCCCAGAGACACAGTGACAATCCCACTCCTGCTTCCCTCTCTCCTCGCGTGGCACTGGAGGCAAGAACAGCAGAGGGCTGGTTTGAACAACTGTGCCACTGTTTAAGAATTTAGGACCTTAGTACCCTCTGTCACTGAGGAAATCCTCTGGTCCTATCCCACTGGCCTGGTCCTCTCCTGACCTTAATTTTCCCCAGTGTCTAAAAGGAGATAAAGGTCCCAGTAATGTGGTGACTGAGAAGAAGGTCCACAAGACTGTGTGATAAGGTGAACCTTCCCACCACCATTTCCAATTTGCTGACAAGAAGCACTCCTGCAAGCCCATGTGGGCTGTCACACAAACTGAAACCACTTCAGCTTCCAGACTGATGGGTGTTTTCCCAGGCACTAATTGTGAAAGTGTAATAGTGAAGGAGACACTGTCAACCTGGCAGCAGTTGCAGGACTGTCATCTTCATGGCTGCCTGAGGCAACACATGGAGACACAGCCATGCCATGCTCCTCTCTTCAGGGCCTGAGGAAGGTTTAGCTGGCTAGCAGATTAGGGATGGCTCATACTGCAGAGCAGACAGGGTGAGATGCCTGTTACAGAATGATGCCTTGATGTGTGCTGGTCTCTGGGTGTGGGTTTGAAACATTCACTCACTTCAGCTGCCTCATGCTGGCGGTGGCTCCCAAGTACAGGGGGGTTTGGCTGTGCTGCTCTGCTGGGATCTCGTTCTGGGCCCAGTTCAAACATGGCTCCAAGCTCTTCCCAGCTTTCTGAGGAGAATCTGAGTAGCTGGAGATTCCTGGACCTGAGGACCATGGAACAGAATGGAATTTTAAGGGAAGTTATGGGAGAACTGTGAGAGCTGTTACCCCAGAGATTGCTATCCATGGGTAAGACAGAACCTGTCACAGGTGGGATGAAGGAGGTCTTCCAGGTATCCATCCTGCTAAAATATGGAACTGAGACCAAAACGTGCATAGAAATCCCAAATTACATTAAGACTACCCTTGCTCTGCAGATGAGACATCTCTACCAGCCACATGACTGCTGCAGCAGCTGAGGCTGTCTCAGCCCACAGAGGAAGAAATGTGGCTTTAGTTGCTATAGAAATAAGCAAAGGACACACAGAGGCTGATGTATCACCTCTGTCCTCCCTCCAGCCATCAAGCCCCCTGCCCTAGAGGAAGCCAGTGCTCTGCAGAGGGAAGCTGTGTGCCAGCCTTGACTCATTTTTCCAGCAGTCAGTGGAGTCTTAAATGTTGGTTTTGAACTACTACCCAGGAAGAGTCTCCCTTTGCTGTTCTCCTGATTCCCTCACCACGTGCTTTGCTCTCTGTGGCTGTGCTGCCATGCAGACAGGGCCCCTCACACTGGGGCTTGAGACCTGCCTGGGCCTCTTGTGCTGCTGCTGGCAGCAAACTGCCTCACAGAGCTGCTGCTTAACCCAGCTGCTGAACGAGGGACATGTACAAGGTTTCAGGGAGCCCTTCTTGCATCTTCTCTGTGTGATTTCAGTTGTTTACAGCCTGCAAGGGCACAAACCCTGTTCCCTGCTTGCTGTGCAGCTGCCCTCCCACAGCACATTGCTGCTGAGGGCTCAGTCCTTCCCAGCATTCCACTATAACCAGGCTTTAACATCAAAGCAAGATTAGGAGATAGGGAAGGAAAACCCCATGCATTAATGCATGAAACCCTCTCAGCTGGCATTGGCAGGGCCAAACTGATTCAAATTAATGAGGAAAACCGCCAAATTCTCTGAAATGGGAACACCTAAAGGCAAGCTGAACTCATTTTGTGCTGTCAGATGCGATATAGGGAATTGGAGTTTTGCAGCTCTCTTGTCCTGGAGCTACCCCACTTACTGCCCAGGGCACAGTCAGGAGGAGGCCAGGAGTCCTCCTCTTCTCCACAGTCAGGAGAAGATACTAGGAGTCATCCTGCAGTCAGATTTGTCTCCATTGCTGTTCACTGCCTCTCCTGGGTGAGAAGCTCCAGCAACCTTGGCTCTATCACTGATCCATGTGCGCATCAAGACAAGCCACATCCTCTCTGCATGTTTCCCTGCCTGCAGCAGCCCCAAAATCCTGACACCTGCTACTGCCAAGGGCCTGATGTGCAACTGTGTGTGGCTAAATCCACCCAGTTGAGAAGAGTCATGCTGAAAATAAGCAACTTGTGCTTTACTATTTCTGTGCACAGCTGGGGGAGCCAAGGAATTTATGGCACTGGTCCATGCACAGGTCTCTGTTTTTCCGTCCATCCCATGCCAGTTGCATGGACCATTGAGCAGGAAATGGGCACCTTACCTTGCACAGGGCAGGAGCTGCATCCTCTGATCACCCCGGTCTTGTTTGCCTTGGTGGTTGTCCACTGGTAGATGAACAGGATGGTGCGGGATGGGCCAGCATCCAGAACAATGCCATACTGGAAGAACCCCAGAACATTCTACTGAAAAACACTAGTGAATGCATGCTGACTAGCATATATAGGTATTCTGGGTCTGCACTGCAGTGCTTGAGTTTGCTTGTGACATTCAAAGAGCAGGTGAAGCCAGAAGATGATGAGGATTTGCAGGGAACCATCTGTGTTTCTGAATATATATGAGGAACAGCAGGAGTGAAGAAACGCCCAGAAATACATCAGCCCTACAGTGGCATGCACTGGAGCTGCTCCTGAAACCAGGCAGAGGGCTTCCCCTGAGAGCTGAGCCACCTGGAGCTCAGGAAAAACAGGTCCTAAAGCAGTGGGAGATGGCACTGTTCTCCACTGATTCTGGGACTCAAACTGCTGCTGGTTGGTTTGCTCAGGTTTTTGTGCAGGAATTGGAGGGCTGCAGCAGACTTGTCCCAGGAAACCCAGGACTCCTGTGTCTCTTTGATGTCCCACTGCAGTGAGGGTGTGACACAGGCTTAGGTTTGTGTGCAGAGCTGTAGGAGCTGCAGCAACCAGCACAGACGCTGTTCAACACAGCAGCCCCTCAGAGACAGAGATGATGTCTTGGCAGGAAGAGCAGCAGCAGTGGACATGATCAGCTCACCCCTTGTCCCCGGGCAGCTCTGCTATTGCCCAAACCAAGGGCTCTCTGTCTTCTTGTCCCCAGTGTTTGTTTGCTGCTGACCAAGCCTTGCTGCTTCCAGAATATGAAGGAGAGCAAGGGGAGGCCACTGGACTACCCTGCAGCACAGGTCTGGCTGTCCCCACACCCAAAATAGCTCCAGAGCTAACCTAGGGCTCCTCTGCTCCTCTTACATGACCCCAGTTTGGGACATCTCCTACACAGACAGGAAGAAAACTCATGAGCTGCATGCTAGTGCGTGGTCAAAGCTGGATCTCACACACAAATAGAGCTGTGACTGAGTGGGAGGAGAAACCTCCTGAGAGGTTGATGTTAATGCCACCAGAAGGGTTTCAGCACCAGCCAGAGCTGGCTGCAGGCTCTGAGTGAGGCTGGCTGCCTGCTGCTCTCCTGGAGCTCCCAGTTGCACCAGTCCTGGCAGCCAGGCCAGGGGCTGGTGGGGCTGGGCTGGAGCAGCAATGCGGAAGGAGGCTGGAGCTCCCTGCCCCAGCCTGCTGGCACCCTCCCACACCAGTGACAGCTCGGATTTCTAGCAGGGACATGTTGGCTGCTGCTGAAGAGGAAGAAAGGAATGGCATTGGTGGAGAAACGTGGAATTTTTTTTCTCCTTCAGAAAATTAGAGGCTGCTGCTGAGAGCCCAAGGGAGAAGGGGAGGGATCACCACATTTATGCCCAGCTCAACACCAGGAAAGGACAGAACAAGGAGCAATAAGAGGGGTTTTAACTGAGTTTTGTTTCTGAGAGGAACATGGAGGAGGGGTGCTATTTCTAAACACCCAGGATAGCCTCCTTCTGTTGGGTGGAACCACGGTGTGCCACTGAGCTCACCTCAGCAATGGGAGCATCAAGAGACAGAGCAGGTGAGCATTAACCCCCCAAGACCTGACCCAGCTGTGAGGAGCACACCGGCTCTTTGACTGAAATCAAGACAGGACCAAAGAGAAGAAGGCATGAAAGACAATTTGTTTTTAAGACAGAAGCAGCAGTTCAGGGGCACATTCCTACTGACTTTTGAGCGGGACCTAGCTCTTTCCCTGCACTGACACCACTGGTTCCTTGTTGCTCTGGGGCAGCTCCTGACATGGGCTGGCTCCCCTCAGCCTGCCCTGAGCATCTCCACTGATCCATGGACCATATCCAGCCCGCATTCCATGACCAATCAAAGGAGGGGGCTTGTTTCTGGTTTGAAAACCTACAGCGTGTTGAAAGACGCCAATCTGTCCTGACAGTCTTGTTTCAGTTCCCTCCTCGGTTTGTAAGTAGCTCAATAATAAAATTATGTCAAAAGCAACAAAACAGCCCAGCTTAGCTGCCTGTCTCCCCCCTGGAGAGCCCTTACCTTGGTCCTGAGTGGGGCCACGGGCACATCTTTGGTGGAGACACAGAGCAGCACGATGCCTGTCAGCCCCGCTACGATCACCAGCCAGGGGGGAAGCAGCTCTCGCCAAGACATGAAGAGTGTTCTCCTTTCACCAAAGAGGAAGCAGTGGAGCAGCAAACCGGCTGCTTTAATAACCTTTAAAAAGAGCAGAAAGGCGTGGCCAGGGCCCGGCTCTGACTTCAGCCCAGCCCCAAGCCACAGGGACCACAGGGATGCGTGGGCCTGGCTGTGATGTGTCAGGGAGCTCTGCTTTCCCTTCCATCCCTGCTGCCCATAAATAACAGGAGGGCTCTGTGCCCATCCCTGTGCGAGCTGTGCAGCGGCACTGCTGCAACCTCGAAACTGCCCCAGGCAGCGGGGTTGAGGTAAACACAAATGTGGGGTTAACTCAGCAGAAGGCAGGCAAAACTCATCCCTTTGGTATTCCACGTCTGGCAGCGTGAGCTTTCAAATTAGAAGCTGGGGAAACTGCTTGTCATTTGATTTACTTTGTTTCTGAGGGCATGAGCCTCTCTGACAGCCTCCCTGTGGAAAACAACCAAGGCTCAGGCTTCTTGAAACACACGCCTGCTTTCTCCTGACAGTGCCACAAAGTCTCATCCCTGCAAATGGAAATTCAGAAGAAAACTCCATGGCTGCTTGCACTGAGGCATTTGGCTGATTGCTCATGTCCACAGACTGGTCGTAGATCTGAAGGTGAAACCAGGAATAGGGAAAGGCCACATCTCTGTTTTTGGTGGTTTCCTCTTTTCATTGCTGTCTGCCCATGAGGAAGCCTCAGACACCCCCAGGAACTTGGAAGTGACCCATGTAATAAATAAAAAGGTTTAAAAAGGAAAAAAGGACTATTAAAAAAAAGTCAAAGTGGGAGGGCGTGCACCATGATAGAGAAGAGACTCCCCAGCTGCCCAGCGCTGCCTTTTGCTTAATACCACTTGCTTAATAAATTCTTGTTAATTAATTTATCTATAATTAGCCTCCCCAATTGAATTTGTCCATAACAACCCACAAGGATCGAGTCCAACCCTTAGCCTTGCATAGGACACTCCCAAGAGTCCCACCATGTGGAAGCTCCTGGAGCAGGGCCTGTGGAGAGCTGCAAAGTTGGCCAAGGCTCTGGAACATTTCCCTTGTGAGGAGAGGCTGAGGGAGCTGGGTCTGTTCAGCCTGGAGAAGAGACAGCCCAGAGGGGACCTCATCAGTGTGTATGGGTATCTAAAGGGTGGTGTCCGAGCATGGACCAGACTCTCCTGGTGCCCAGCAGTGGACAAGAGGCAGCAGCTGACACCCAGGAAGCTCCACCTGAACATGGGGAAGAATTTCTTTGCTGTGGGGGTGACCAAGCTCTGAACAGGCAGCCCAGAGAGGGAGTGGAGTCTCCCTCACTGGAGATATTCCAGAACCATCTGTTTATGTGTAGTAAACATAATTCGCGCCATTCCTTGTATGAAATGTGTAATATTGGATACTTGTTAGATTATGCTCGTTTGTATTAGGCCCCCCACCCTCGCAGGTGAGACCGGGTGTATATTAGAAACTGATTTACAAGTAAAAAGATGTGGCTTGGCCAGGAGATGGGGATGGGCCATGTCTAGAGAGATTTGGGGACCCCAGGTGCTGATCATGGCGTGAACGACCCGGGATGGATCTCATGGAAATCCTTGGGCAGATCCATGGGAATGCAGCGTTCCCGTAAACTTCATCAAGGGATTCACCAACTCCTGACACTGAATTGTTCTTCTTCATCACCAAAAAAGAAAATCTTATTAACCTATGGACTCTGAATGGAAGAAAAGACTGATTGCTGAACTCTTGGCCTCAGGCGGAATTTTCCCTATAAAAACCGCTCGTGCCAGGCTGGAGGTGTGTGGGCACAGAGGAAAACCTCTGCTGAGGCTGACTCCTTGTTGCACACCCAGTGCCGACCCCGGGCTCGGCTCTGTTCTTTCCTTGTGGCTGGCTAGATAGAATTTGATTGCAAAATAAATATTTTATATTTCATTTTAATTTGGCTGGACAAATTTTCATTTCTAACAGTCTGAACACAATCCTGCGCCGTGTGCTCTGGGATGACCCTGCTTGGAAAGGAAGGTGGGGCTAGATGACCGTCTATGATCCCTTCCAGCCCGAACCATTCCGTGATCGCATGTGCTGTCCAAAGGCTCCCTGAGCCCCATGCGCCCTGCCTGGCGCTCAGCCGAGCCGCACCGAGCTCCTCGGGCCGCGGGGAGCCCGGGGCAGCCGCCGCGGAACCTTGGTGCGGCGGAACCTCCGTGCTGCGGCGCGGGGCCCGCCCGCGGGGCGGCTTGGGGCGGACCGCGCGGAGCCGGGGCGGGAGCTGAGGCGGGACCGGGAACCGGATCGGCACCGGGACCGGGATCGGGAATCAGGACCGGGAACAGGGCCGGGAACGGCACCTGGAGCGGCCCCCGCGCCCGGCCGGGCCGACATGTACGCGGGGCTGCAGGAGCTGGGAGTGGCCAACGGCGAGGACCTCAAGGAGACCCTGACGAACTGCACGGAGCCGCTGAAGGCCATCGAGCAGTTCCAGGTGCGCTGGGGCCGTGTGGGGCCGGGCTGTGCGGGACAGCGAGCACGGGACGGCCCCCAGCGCCCTCTGGGCTTTTCCTGGCTGTATTTGTAATCTCGAGTGCCGTTGTCATTCCCTCGGCGGGTTGTGTTGCAGACGGAGAACGGGGTGCTGCTGCCCTCGCTGCAGTATGCCCTGCCCTTCCTGGACCTTCACGGCACCCCCCGGCTCGAGTTCCACCAGTCCGTGTTCGATGAGCTGCGGGAGAAGCTGCTGGAGAGAGTCTCTGCCATCGCTTTGGAGGGGAAGGTCGAGGAGAGGTTTGTCAGCAGCCTCCTGGGAGTTCTGTGTGAAAATACAGTGGGTGGGTGACTTCTCTAAAGGAGAGTTGGGCTCTTCAGGGTCCGAGTTCCAGTGGCTTTGAGGTGGCCACTTCGTTCCTTTACTGCTGCGTGGTACCTAGTCTCATGTTTTCCCATGATTTCAGATACAAGAAGCTGGAAGATCTCCTAGAGAAGAGCTTTTCCCTGGTCAAGATGCCCTCGATACAGCCCGTGGTCATGTGTGTCATGAAGCACTTGCCCAAGGTGGGACCACTGCACTGGTTGGCCTGGTGTGATGTGGTATGTCACTGGTGTGACATCTCTGGTGTGACATCTCTGGTGTGACATCTCTGGTGTGACGTCTCTGCTGTGCCTCTGGCAGGGAGGCTCTGCTCCCTCTGCTCCTTCTGCAAGTGTGTTTTTCAGTGTCAAGAACTGACTGAGGATTCAACACATTCTTGTATCTGCTAATAGCTCAGTGGACTAATTCAAAAAGCCTTTCACATTTTCATTATCAGACGAGACTATTTCCCTATTTTCTTCAATCCATGCAGCTTCCTAAAAAGTCAAGTTTGCTGATAGGTGAATTTTTCCACAACTGTTTTGCAAATCTTTGACAAGTGGAAGGTAAGGCTTGAAAAGTGCAATTAAAAGTAGGCAGGAGGGAGAATCAGGTCTGTGAAACAAAAATCCTTACTAAAAGCATCATGTTGCACTCAATGTAATGGACTCAAAACACTGCTGGAACTTCAGTAAATTACTGAGCTTGGAAACATCACCTCAAATCTCAGCACTGGAGATTTAAAGTAGACCTTTTTTCTTCTTTGAAAGAATCAAGGGTGTGTGATTTGGGTGTTGAAGAAGTCTCTTAGGGCTGGTCTACTGCTACACCAGGTGGGTGAATGCCCAGACTGCCTGGGGTGGGGATCACGGCATGGAGAGGATTGCCTCACCTTGAGTCCTGGGGCTGTTTGGGCACAAGATGAAAAAACATCTAAAGCTGTTGGAAAATGTTAAAAGGATGGTGCAGGGTGTGGAGGGGCCCGTGAGGAGCAGCTGAGGGCACTGGGATGGTTCAGCTGGGGCAGGCTGAGGGCAGAGCTCCCCGGGGCTGCAGCTCCTCCTGGGGCAGCTCCAGCTCTGCCCTGGGACAGGGACAGGAGCCAGGGCACGGCTGGAGCTGGGCCAGGGCAGCTCAGGCTGGAGAGCAGGAAAGGTTCTTCCCCCAGAGGTGCTGGCACTGCCCAGGCTGCCCAGGGAATGGGCACGGCCCCGAGGCTGCCAGAGCTCCAGGAGCCTTTGGCCAGCGCTGCCAGGGGTGCCCAGGGTGGGATTTTGGGGGTCTGGGCAGGGACAGGGGCTGGGCTGGATAATCCTTGTGGGTCCCTCCCAGCTCAGGAGGTTCTCTGATTCCATGATTTAGATGGTTACATGGACCGGCAGGGAGGCGAGGTGCTGCTCACTCTGTACCTGCTCTGTGGATTGCAGGTCCCTGAGAAGAAGCTGAAGCTGGTGATGGCTGATAAGGACCTGTACAAGGCCTGTGCTGTGGAGGTGAAGAGGCAGATCTGGCAGGACAACCAGGCTCTCTTTGGGGATGAGGTGTCACCCTTGCTGAAGCAATACATCCTGGAGAAGGAGAACATTCTCTTCAGCAATGATATTTCCTTCTTGCAAAATTTCTTCAGTCCATCTCCCAAAACGAGACGTCAAGGAGAGGTAAGGACAAGGAAACCCTCACAATGTGCTGGTGAGGGGAATTATCAGCTTTCAGTCAACCATCACATAAATAACCTGAGCTGTTTTTTTCTGCCCATCTTCACTGCTGCAGTTGTTTAGCTGAACAAACTCTTTGCAGGAAGCACCAGGCCATTTTCTCCTGCACATTTTGATAAAAGCAGGAGGAATTATTTTAATTGTTGTGTAATAAATGATGAATGTTCTAAGTTGTTTATACACTTCAAAAAAAGAAAGGGCAGATTTTTTCTCTGGTGGTCAGTCTGGTTTTAATACACTTCAGCTGTTCTGAAGGCTGAACATCTCTTACCACATCAGTTTGATTATGCTGATATGTTAAATTCGCTTTCTTAGGACTTTTTTTAGTAGATGTATTTCAACTGAAGTTGCTTTTTTTAAAAAAAAACTATGTAGAAAGTTGTAGTTAATTGGCATCCGGAAAAGTTGAATTAAATTAAGGCAGTATAGTTTTAATTTCAGAGAGCACAGCACA